GCAGTGTATGCACATATGCACATGAGCTTCTAAAATTCCTTCTTAGAATCCTCATCAAGGGGATGTTTTAGGATTAAGAAATATAAATATTCTGCCTCAACAAATGTCTTCTATGGAAAAGAACAGGAATATCATTCCCAAATTAAGCTCTATCCTTATTCACCTTCTGATCTTCCCTAAAAGATAAAAAGTAAAGTCTTTCTTTCTTTGAAATGTAGTTTATGCACAAGCCAGTACTTCTTGTAGAATCCTTTTAAAATAGAGTTTGAAGTTCTACTACTATCATCTACCATATGAAATGAGGCTCTTTCTTCTAGGTGGATATTCCTTAGAATTTCGAGATCATTCTCCATACCATAGCAGAGCTGGGCCTTAACACATAACAGACAGTTTTGATGTTATCAAAGCCATTGGCTATGGCTCCCTGGATTAAGAGCAGGAAGAAAATTTAGAACTTTGTAGGCCAACCTTTGCATTTTGCAAATGAGGAAAAATGAAGTAGGCCCTTTGCTCTTCAACAAATATTCACCCATGCTGGTCCATCTTAAACTCCATTCCAGCTGTCCCCTTTGGCCAGGAAGTCAGAATACCAACGTTCCTCACACCTTCCTTGGACCCATCATGTAGTCTGTCCAGCGTCAGAACCAGAGGTGTGCTGGTAAATGTTTAGCAACTGGTTCTCTGAAAAGAAAAATATAGGCAAAACACACTTTTAAATGTAATCTGTAATATTAAAATCTTCTCTATCACCTTAAGTCTAGACCGGGGGTGGGGAGCGTTCGGCCTCGAGGCCACCCGCGGCTCAGAATTTCAGAAGTTTGGATTCAGTCACAGGGCCACACTTGAGGATGGAGAGGGCCACATGTGGCCTCGAGGCCGCAGGTTCCCCACCCCTGGCTCTGGACAATCAACAAAACAATCAAACTCTGATTTGTAGCATTTTGCCAGTTTCCAAGGTGTAAATGCTCATAGCATTTACAAGACCTCCTTCTGTTCCCCCCCCCACCACCAAATTCACTGAGATCCTTCTTGTCTGCAGAAAATTGGGTTGTAAATATGTTCTTAAGAAATGACTATCATAGGGGCAGCTAGGTGGTGCAGTGGATAGAGCACCAGCCCTGGATTCAGGAGGACCTGAGTTCAAATCCGGCCTCAGACATGTAACACTTACTAGCTGTGTGACCCTGGGCAAGTCACTTAACCCCCACCCAACCAAAAACCAAAAACTAACAAACAAAAAAAAAAGAAATGACTATTATCTAGACCCAAGCTCAGACCTTCTGTTTAGAAATTCAATTATTTTACTTCACCACACGCATTCAACACAGATGGTACATTTGAGTTTTTGTGTGTTGTATTTGGGGGGAAGGGGTGGTAATGCTGATCCTCACTGGTGTGGGAAACTCCTGATGTAAGAAATTTCCCCACCATAAATCTGTAGCTTAATGTCTTAGATAACTTAGCCCAGGAAACTAAAACGGGAAGTGATTTGCCCATTGTCACACAGCAAGTATATGGCAGGGTCAAAACTTGAACTCAGGTCTTCCCAACTCTAATTCAATTCATTAAGCACTCATTAAGATCTTATCCTATGCCAGGTATTGTGCTAAGCACTGAGAATAAACAAAAATAACTCTTTTTTCATCCCTGTGTTCAGGGAAGGTGAAGTGTAGGGATGATAACAGTTCATATTAATATAGTACTTTATCTTAGCTGATTCTTGCAACAACATTTATACAGCACCTACCCTAAGCCAGGCACTATGCACTAAACACTTTTTACAAATATTACCTCATGTCAGCCTTATGACAGCTCTGTGAGGAAAGTGCTGTTGTTATTCTCATTTTTCACATGGGCCAGATGAGATGGTGACCTGCCAAGGGTCTGGAGGTGAGCTCCTAGATCTCCCTCATGTAACTCCAGAGCTCTGTAGACCAAATCAGGTACCTCTCAGGCACGGATGGGCAATTGCACACTACCGTGAACTCCAATCATACCCCAGTGGAGATAGCTCAGGACCCAAACCCAAGAGCCTTACAAAAAAGCAGTGTTCCGGCAGACCAGCTACTAATTCTTTTAGCCTAAGCCCAATGTCCTTCATTGAAAAGGGAAATCATTGTGGAGGAGGGGCTGCTTTCTGACACCACTGATAACTGCTGCTCAGTTACCACAAGAGCAGGTGAGTACAAGACCCAAGAGTGACAGCGGCTCTGAGACCGCTGGTCCTACTTCTAGCACACACCTTGAAGCCAGCATCCTGGGAATCAACCCTGCATAGAAGCAGCCTGGCAACATTCTTTTGTGGGTGCTGCCGTCACAGATACTGAAGACCCAGAAAAGAATGTTCCTGCTGCCAATGTCCTTGCCTTTGCCAAATGGTTGAACATCAGAAAGTGATGGAATTTTATCAGTGGAAATGGCATTAAAGAAGAGGCATTATCATCTGCTTTCCTGTCATGGAATTTTTCTGCCTGACTTGAGGCCAAACAGAACATCTTATTTCTCACCAGGCTGTGGTACTCTGGGACCTCCTCTGACCTTTCCACCAAGCCCTCCCTCCAACCCCCCCCCAAAATCAGCCAGCTACCCCTCCCCCACCCCCTTTGTAGCTTCCTTTTGTGTGTTGTCTTCCCTCATTAAATTATAAGCTCCTTGAGGGCAGAGCTGTCTTTCTTTTTTCATATTTGGATCCCCAGTATTTAGTACAGTGCCTGGCACATAGGAGGAGCTTAATAAATATTTATTGACTATGATTATATTTATAAAGCACTTTCTAAATTTTAAACTAGACTAGCTATTATTACTGTCGTGATTGTTGTTATCATTATTAGGGTTACAATATGAGGAGTTTGGGGTTTTGGTTGGTTTTTAATTGTTGCTCTTCCTAAATCTTATGTCTCATGGTGTTGCTTCCCTGCCCAAGAGCTCAGTGGTTTCTGTTGCCTCCAAGATAAATTGTAACTCTTTCTGAAATGCAAACTCCTTCATAATCTGGTTCCAATTTATCTTTCCAGGCTGATCTCATGTTTTTTCTACTCACGTGCTCTATTTTCCACCTCAATTGGCCATCTCCCTTCTATGCCTTTGTGCAGGCTGCTCCCATGCCTGCAAGGCTCCCCCTCTTCAATTCTACCTCTTGGAATCTATGGTTCCCTTTAAGGTTCAGCTTATGGATCCCTTGGCCAAACAACACCTTCTCAGATCCCCCATTTGTTAATTATCTTGACCTATAAATTTACATTGAATTAACTTGGACATATTTTATATTGACTTATCTGTGTGCACACTGCAGTCCTTCCCACCTAGAATGTCAGCTCCTAGACACTGATCAGCGTCTAGGACACGTCACTTAACCACTGTTTACCTCAGTTTCTTCAATTGTAAAATGGAGATCATAACAACACCTACTTTACAGGGTTGCTATGAGAATAAAATGAAGTAATATTTGTAAAGCACTTAGCACTGGCATTAGTAGGTGCTTAATAAATGTTTATTCCATTCCCACCCCCCTTGAAATTCTGTTCCATTTTGGTTTTTGTATCTCCAATTCGTAGGACAGTACCTGTAATGTAAAAGGTACATGATAAATGTTTGTTGAGCAAATAAATTGGTATGACAGTATCTTCACATAATAATCCTGTTTTCATGTATCTCAGTAATCAATCAGCAACCATTTATTTAAGCACCTTATTTCAGTCCTTGCTCTAGAGTTTTGAGACACAAAGGCAAAAAGTAAAACAGCCTCTGTCCTTAAGAAGCTTGCATTTCATCTAGGAAGAAAATATGTATGTAATTAAATCAATAAAAAATCAATATGAGGTAAGAAGTTTAGGGAGGCACTGGGAGCTGTGGGGGTGAGGGTGAACAAGAAGTGTTTCATGTAGAAGATGATAATTGAGCAGAATCTTGAAAGACCAGGAATTCTAAAGAGCCAAGATAAAAAGAGAGTGCATTCCAGGCAGTGGGAATGACTACCGCAAAGGCCCAGAGATGGGAAAGGAGGTTTCATGTGTGAGGAACATGAAGAACGGCAATTTGACTAAACTATAGTGTAGAAAGGCAAATAAATGCATAAGGGGTGGAAAGGTAGGTTGGAGAAGGACTTTATTTTTTTGGGAAGGAGAAGGTATCTGAGGTTAAGTGACTCACCCAGGGTCACATAGCTAGTGTTTGCGGTCACATTTGAACTCAGATCCTCCTGACTCCACAGCTGGTATACTAGCCATTGTGCCGCCTGTTTGCCACAGAGAAGGACTTTAAATGCCTTTCAGTCAGAGGAATTTCTATTTTATCCTAGAGGCAATAGTGAGTCACAGGAGTTTATTTTCAGGGGAGTGACATCAAATTCATGCTTTAGGAAAATCGCTTTGGCAGCTATAGGGAGTAAGCATGTTTGTTATATGGTGTTCAGTGTGGAGTTTAAATGTTCTGTGGTAGAAATGAGAATGGAATTTCTTCGGTGAGGAGTGGCTAGAGCACTGGAGATGATTGTCAGAATAACTTAATTGAATCCTGCTTCAAACATTTACTAAATGTGTAACCTTGGGAAATTCACTTTGTTGTTATTATTCAGGCACGTCTGACTCTTTCTGACCCCATTTGGGATTTTCTTGGCAAAGACACTGGAATGATTTGCCATTTCCTTCTCCAAGCTCATTTGACAGATGAGGAAACTGAGACATACAGGGTTAAGTGAGTTGCCCAGCATCATACAGCTATTAAATATCTAAGGTCACATTTGAACCCAGGTCTTCCTGACTCCAGACTGGGCACCTCATCCACTGTGCCAACTAGCTGCCCTAAATTGTTTCAGTTTCCTCATCCATTAAATGAGATAATACGTGTAAAGCACTCTGCAAACCTTAGAACACTATGTAAATATTAGTTAATACTGGTCAAATTCTTCTCTAATATAACTTTTATTTCCATGTGCTTGCTCTGTAGATTGGTTACATCTTTATATGGCTCTCTTTCTGAAAAGCAGAGATGTGCTTCAGTAGACTAAGGGCTCAAACTGGGAATCTGGGATGCCAAACTCCAGGCCTGCTGTAACAACTGACAAGCTACTGGGGAAGAATCTTTATTTTTCTTTCATTTTCATGAACCAAAAAAAAAAAGAGTAAAAGGAAAAGTGGATGACAGCCTATCTCAATAGGTTGAGGTGAAGCATTAATGGAGGTTTCCAAACAGAAGGAAAGGTAATGGGTTATTTTAGTGCCCTAACTGGCAGGGCTTACATCATCAACTTTCTATTGCAGTTGTCAGAAGAAGCAGCTAATGACTCCGCGCTCGAAGAAATTCTTCTTACCCTGGTTCCTTCACCCTCAACTCACTCATTTTCAGGGGACGTCAGTTTGCTTATAAGCTGAGTGGTGCTGGCTGTTCAGCTGCCCACAGACTACAAGTTAGAGCTGATCATAATATCATATGACCATAGATTTAGAGCTGGGAGGAGCCTCAGAGGTCATCTAATCCAGCTCCTTCATTTTACAAATGAGGAAACTGAGGCCTAAGGAGCATATGGCATTCCCAGGTCACTCCAATGGTAAATGTCATGATTCCTTGAGCTTCTTTCAAGCTTGTGTATGTGACTCTAAGATGACTTTCTGGATGTGGTCTCAAACAACAAACATATTCCAACTTCACTTATTTCAATACTAAAAAAGATACAGTATTTATCTAATCAGGATGGATGCTCACAAGCTCCTCTACATCTTTGGGAGTTGCTGCAGACAAAATATTCCCTAGCGACCAACTTTTTGGTGCTCAGTCCTTCTGCTTACTAGGCTGGTTCTTGGACACAGACCACACTCCAAATCTCCACACAACAATGAGCCATCAGGGTAAAATATCAGTGAAGAATGCATATCCATTTGACCTAGGTTCATATGTTACCTTATATACTTACTAACTGTGTGCCCCTGGACAGATTACTGAACTTCCCTGTATTTCAGTTTCCTTACCTATAAAACAAAGAAGTTGGAATTGATGACCTTAAAGGTCCATTCTGGTTCAAAATCTAGGATCTCATGAACTACTTACTATTTGCTTGACCCTCTAACCTGAACTGTAATGCTTTCTTTAAGGGTCAGCTAAATTGTGATGCTGACTTTTAGTATTTTTTTAAAAATGTAGGGGCAGCTAAGTGGGGCAGCGGATAGAGCTCTGGCCCTGAAGTTAGGAGGATCTGAGTTCAAATCCAGCCTCAGACCAAACACTTAACACTTACTAGCTGTGTGACCCTGGGCAAGTCACTTAACCCCAATCGCCTTAAAAAAAAAAGTAAAAGACTCAGACTCTGGGGATGAAGGGTGGTGTGTAGTGGTAACTGAAAAAAAAAATGGTGAAAGGAGAGCAAAGATGGGAGTTCAGAGGCAAATTATTCATCTTGTCATTGCTGTGGCCAACTGCAGGTGGCTAAAAGATTAAAGGGAAGGTGATGGGCAGAGCTAAAAAGAGGTATTGCTGGTGGCTATTGGGAATTGGCTCATTTGAACCAATACTCTTTGCATATCTGTCCTTTACTCTCCATGAGGGCAGGTAATGTGACTTAGGAGAACTTTATCTTTCCCCCATCTCTGGCCCAATGCTCTCCAAACAGTAGTGACTTAGTAATAAGTATTTGCAGAGTTGGATGATTTGTAAACATTTAGTGACAAAGGCAGTGCAGCAAACCAAAATATCCAAGGTCCACCTTTGCACCCAGGCAAAGTGTGTTTGTAGCTAGGATTAAGAGGTTCAGGAATCGTTTCTTGCGGCAGGAGGTAAAGATGTTTGCTTTGAAGAGGAGAGAAACCATATACTCTGGAAGGACTGTGTCCCAGCCTGGGAAGCTGTATTCCAGGGAAGTGAAGAAAGCTACCCTTTAAGGGAAGGAGTTACCTCTGAATGAAGAACGTGACCAAGGATTTGGAGGCAAGAGTCCTAATATGTTGCCTTTATGGTTGTTTTTGGCTGTATCTGAAAAGATATAGTACGAAAAGAAGTAAAAACTTTTCCCTTAGCATCCCAGGGGTACATGCTCCCCTAAGCCATCTCAGTCCCTGGGGAGAGTGGGCTCCAACCTAATGCAGCTGCTACAAACATTTGTTCCCCACAACTTCCTTTCTGAATGTGTAATAGCAGCTAGGTGAATCACTGCTGCTCCCTCATGGCTGACTTTGATCCACCCTGGGTCAAACAGGCTTCACACCTGAGGGCTGGCCACAAAATGCTTGCCTTGTTCAGATCGATCAGAAGCAGCCTCATGGAGAGGATCAAGGGCTGGCTTGGAGTCAGGAAAACTCGGGTTAAAGTTTTGTCCAGAGCAAGTTACTGAATCTCTCTGTGATCTAGCAAAGTTTCCAAGATGGCTGTATTTCCACACAGGTCGTTCTCCACACTGGTAAACTCACAGGTCTACACACAAACAAAACTTGTTCCACTTGATATCCATAGGGATCACCTAAAAGGAGTAAATGATGGAGATTTTGTGAAGTTTGGTATTTTTCTTTGGAATGTGAATAAGTAGAAAATAAAAAAAATCACCTTTAAACAAAATTAATGTATAATAACAATTCATATACAATGTTTTAAGGTTTACAAAGCACTTTCATCATGATAAGACTATGGGGTAGGTATCATGAGTACTATTATCCCCATTTTGTAGATTATGAAACAGAGATTAGTAAGAATAGTTTAATAGTTCTGAGAGCCTATTCTCTCAGAACTAGTAAGTTCAGGGGAAGGGGAGAATGGGAAGAAGCATTTATTAAGCACCTTCTCTGTGCCAGGTGTTTTACAAATATCTCATCTGAGCCTCATGACAACCTTGAGAGGTGGGTGCAATTATGATCCTCATTTTACAGTTGAGGAAACTGACACAATATAACTTGCCCAGGGTCACACAGCTAATAAATGTCTGAGAGTTCAATTCTGATTTGAACTCACATCTTCCTGACTCCAGGTCCAGCACTTTATCCCTCGCACCAGATGTAGGACGGAAGATTCAAAAAGTAGGTCTCTTGACACCAACTTCAGCACTCTTTCCACTATGTTAACTGTGGGTTGGGGTACTTGAAATTTTACAATGTTCACGTAGCACTGCCCTATTAGACATGAATAGCCTAGAAAAAGATGATTAATTTATTTTTAATAGTCTCACTTACATTTGTTTTGTATCCTCTGTAGAACTGGTGTCATAATAATGGATTTTAAAATGATGAATGCACCCTCATTCCTACCTCTCTTCTAAGAATGAAGCATCCATCAACACCTGCTGAAACTGACATGAGTAAGGAGATTGAACAGAAGAAACTCTGACTGTGAGTAATGATGGGTGTTCATTCATGAGTGAAATAATGTTTGGGGACCAGCTAGAGCCACTCTACAAAAACCACCAGCTCGAGGAAAGTGATACATTATTCTGGACAAGTAGTAAAGAATGCTTATTTTAGTAAATTCATTGTCTGTATAAAGACTGGAGGGAGATGGAAACATTGTGAACACATATAGGCTGGTATTTTTCCTTTTTATTGGAAAGTGATAATAATGAAGACCCCTGCTTGTTTGGGGCATTTTAGTTTGGGCTTCTGTCAGAATTTCATATAATAACCTATTATATTATTATTCTATTATACTATCTAAGGACACACTAGCTTTTTTTTTTTTTAGGAAATAGGTACTAAATGCTCTTTTTAAAAAACTAAATTCCTAAATAGAAGAGAGAACAATTAGTACCATAGCCTCTTCCCCTTGGATAGTTGGTCTGGCATTATTCAATTTGAATTAAATTGAATAAATTAAATTCAGTTCTACAAATATTTATTAACTGTCTACAACGTACAAAGTCCTTGTGCTTGGTTCTGAAGATATAAACATGAAAAGAGAAGCATCCTTACCTTCAGAGAGATCACAGTCTAACAGTAGGGGAAGACAAGTCCCCAAATTAATTGTCATATGAGGGAGAGAAAGAAAAATGCAACAGAGGTGTCCAGGCAAAAGACTATATAAGATGAAAAAGAGAGATCACTGGGGTGTCAAGCAAGGTAATGTTTTAGTGGTGATGGCTAATTTTTTCTTCAGAACTATGACTTATGCATCAAATGCTAGCCTAGAGGATAGAGAGAGCATTTTGAGGTTTAATGTAAAAGATGGCCATGCTTTGCATTATTTGATGCTTCTTAATAATTTTTGTTGTTCAGTTGTTTCAGTCGTGTCCAATTCTTCATGATCCCATTCGAAGTTTTCTTGGCAAAGATAATGTAGTGGTTTGCTATTTTCTTCTCCAACTTATTTTTACACATGAGGAAACTGAGGCACAAAAGGTTAAGTGACTTGGCCAGGGTTACACAGCTAGTGTCTGAATCTGGATTTGAACTCAGGTCTTTCTGACTCTGGGCCCAGTGCTCCATCCACTGTGCCACTTAGCTGCTCTATTCTTAATATAATGTTTTATGTTTTAGTACAATGCTTTTTATTTAATTTTTTTTTTGCAAAATAATAAAATTATGACCCCTGAAGAGTAAATGTAGTAAAGTTGTATAAGGAATGCATGAGCCCAATATTTGAACCAGTATAGTTACAACATTCATTTGAATGGCAAAATACAGTGCAGAAGTTTTGTGTTTTTTTTAAGAGCTGTGGTATATGATGGAGTAATTTAATTTGATTCTCCCCTTGTGTGAACTGATCCATCAATAGAAAACATACTAAGATTTCCAGGATTCACTTAAAGAGTGGGACAAATACACCTAAATAGAACACAGCATAGCCCAGCACGGCAGTTGTGTTGCTGGCCTAACAACTGAAATTCTCCCAGAGAATTTTATTATAAAGCAAACTTACATTCACAGAATCCTGCTTTCCATGTCAAAATTGGAAATGTGTTTTATTATTAAGATTTTTTGGCCCTTGGATGCAAGCAAACCACAGTTGGCAATGCTACAAATATTTTATACCTTTTTAAAAGGAAAAATGATTACTTTCTGATGCATCCTATTGCAAAATATCAGCAACTAAAATATATAAATAATAACTCCATTCTGTATGCATAATAAGCCAAGGAATCAAAAGAAACATCTAAAATATAATTTTAGGATCTCTATTCATCACTAAATGCTGTTTGCCTCAGTTTCCTCATCTGTAAAATGAGCTGGAGAAGGAAATGGCAATCCACTCCACTCTCTTTGCCAAGAAAACCCCAAATGGGGTCATGAAGAGTCAGACATGACTGAAACGACCAAACAACAACAGCAACAACAAAATTCATCTTGCATCGCAATTTGTTTCCATCAAAGAGATTATGATTGCTAAAGGTATTTTTAGCCATTTGGCAAGGTTTTCCAAGAGCATCAAACCACTCTGACATTTCTTACTTTCCATGTGAGGCTGGATAAATATGCCAATATCAAGGACCCTGCCATTCAGACTGTCATTCTCTCAACTGTCACTAATTGTAATCCCAAAGTTATTACAAAAGATCTCTAAATAATCAGATTAAAGAAAGATTCAAAGAAGTCTGGTAGAGTTTTATTGGTGGGAATATTTTACTTCAAATACTTAGAAAAAGCTGTATTTAATCATGGTAGATCTCCTTCCATCATTCAAGCAAAAAGGATTTATTAAGCACCTACTCTGTGCCAGGCATAGTGATAGGCAGTAAAAAGGTAAATCCCCCCCAAAAAAGAGTGAGCTAGTCCTTGCCTTGAAGGAGCTTACAAACTCATAATTCTCGCATCTTGTATTCTGCCTCTTTGAAAGTTGGTCATCGAGTAGGTAAGGTATTGTGGTAAAAATGTTGATTTTAAATTCAAAAGACCTTCCTCTTAGTTCCTGCTGTGACTTGTGATTCTGGGTAAATCATCTGACCCATTTTCTCATCTGTAAAATGGTAATAGTACTTGTACTACCTACCTTATAGCATAAAGCAAAAACAAAATGGAGTTACCACTACATAGGGGCAAAGGGATTAAGGAATATATAAACCTGTGATTTTATCCATATACTAATGCAGGTTGGTAACTTCTATATGAAAGTCTAAGAGAGGTTCCTAGGGCACTGAGAGGTTAAGTAGATCACCTGTGGTCACACAGCTAGAATGTATCAGAAATGGAACCTAAACCTAGGCCTTTCTGACCCCAAGGATGGCCCTCTATCCTCTATGTCATTCTGCTTTTCCTGACTTTTAACAAATATTTGCTAAACAAGACAGTCTATTACCAGAACAATTAAATTATTCCCAAATAGAATAAAATAACAAAAAAACCCCAACACAACCCCTTAATGTATAGAAAAGGCTAATCAATTTTAAAAAACCTTTCTAATAGAAAGCTTTATGGACTGGATAGAGCAAAAAAAAAAAAAAACGCACAAAACTGTAGCCACAACATGTAATCCAGGTATTTGGAGCTTTCTGGATAACAGGTGCTAAGAAGAAACTGGAATACCAATGCTAACATGGTCATGATATTACCACAGAGTAATATGTGAATGAAGAAACTTTACAAAGTTAATGTGGAAAAACTGTGTGCTAATATGATATCCTTGTTGAGTATTTTTTATCTTAGATAATATTTGATAGAGAATACAATGAGGTGGCTTTGCAAAGTGGATAGAAGTTTCCTGGTTCTATTGTTTCACTCTTCATCTGTTCATATGTCTTTTAGTACTTCTCATAATTTATTATATTTGTCATACTTTTAGAAAACAGGATGTCCCAAAAGTCTTAGTGCAGTTTTAAGCTTTTTGGGGATAAATGACATTTTATCACATCAATGTACCAGACTTCTTCAGTCATTTCCCCTCATGGGGCATCTACTTTGTTTTCAATTCTTTGTTTATATAACAAAAAAAAAAAGGAAGGATCTGAGATCCTGGATCTTTATATTTATTTGTTTGTTGGCTTATTTTAATTTAAAATTAATTTAGGAGAAAGGGAAGTAGTAAAACTATTTTCCTAGAACAGTCTCTTTTGGGACTTGTCAACAATCAAAACTTTAACAGTGACTAACCATTTCCAAAGAAACTGAAAACAATACTCAGGTATATGTATCCCTAACACATATACATTCCTGACTCAGAGTTTTAAACTGTCAACAGCAGAGAGACAATGCCATTGACACGTACCTGGCACCAGTTACTCTGGTTTATTTTTTTCCTGGAGAGTGGTTTTGGGCGACAGAGCGGCGTCCCAGTTTCCCAGGTTGTTGTGCTGACAAACTGCAGTGGTGGTAAAGTCAGGGAGTCTGACAAAATCTCATTAATCATTTTAAATTAAATCCAACCTTCCCGTCCAACCATACCAAGAAGAAAGACAACTTTTACAAAAGAAAAACCCCTCAGAAAAGATTTGATACCTCAGTGTTGATGTCTAACTAAATTAAGGGGAAAGGGGGGAAAGAAGAGGGAAAGAAGGAAGAAAGAGAAAGAAGAAAGAAAGAAAAAGGAAAGAAAAGGAGAGGAAAGAAGTAAGGAAGGAAGGGCTGAAAATAATACTTTACAACAAAACACTTACAAGAAGGGGAAATAATTCTCTTTTCTAACCTTAAAGATACATTTGCTCAGTTAAGATTTAACAGAGCAATTGAGAGTCATTAAAAAAATCTATTGAATTTTAAAAAAAATACACAGTAAACCTTTGAGAGAAAAAAAATCTATCTTGTTAAATTATGGCCATTTAAAAATACTGATTAATTGACTTGCAAGATTAAGAAAGGAAACTCCAGGAAGGATAATCTATTGTAATATCAATGGTGCTTTTAAAGAATGAATTTATTTAAAATACAGGAAAACTATTTTCTTATCTGCTTGACAACTTTATATAATACATTTCTATTTGTGTTAAACACATGTGCATGCCAATAAAATGAATTTAATTTGATAAAATGAATTTTTAAAAAACAATTGGGATCTAATTATAATGAATAATTTGCTGCTTTAGAATTTACAATTCTAAATGTTCTGAATCATTTGGTTTTTATGGACATAACATTTAAAAAGACTACTTCTTATAATAATTGATAATTGAAATGAGTTAATTTGTTGAATGCAAGATAGAAAAAGGTGAGTAGCTTCAACCTAGCAGCAACTCACACTATATATACTTAAGAAAATTGGCTATATTTAATCAAAAATTTGTAATTAGACTAATTTATAGGTTCAATCTGAATGGGATAATGTGATTAGAGCTATAATTTTGATATCTTCTGATTTATTTCAAATGTGTAGTACTTAAAAGAATTTTAAAAAGAAAAGATTTGCATCTCATCATGTATAATACTTGTCCATGCTTTTTCATTAAGAAGGTTGCAGTAAGAGAGAGAGATCTACTCAATGTGTGGCAGACAGTCCTCTTGGTAGTTTAGTATTTAGGTGGGTACTACTTTACCATGCAGGTTAGCCATCTATTATCTCTTTTAGTACCTGGCCAACCCATTTCCTTCTTTGCTCATACATATTTTTTAGTAATGATTTTTATGTTGCTTTTCATAACTTATTGGTTGCAACATGCTACAACTTGATTATACCCACTATGCATCTTTGCATTACCTTTGAGTTATTTGTGATTTTGATTTGAAACTGTTGTTGCCCATGATTTGAAGCCATACAGCACTGCTAGTAGGACACATGTTAAAAATATAAACTTTTGCACTGGCAGGAGATTTGGGATCACTGAAAACACCATACAAATGATATCAACAAAAATCTATTTTAAAAAAAACCACTACACTATTTTTCACATACCATTCAGGCAATAGTAGGAGACAATTTGTCCAAGATATAAACATTGATAGGTTTATTTGATAGTCATCTCTTCAGCTAAAGACTAGATTTGGGTATTTTTTAAAAAAATATTTCTTTTTCCAATGTGAATAGTTAATTTAACTATTTATATTTTTGACCATGACAATCGATCAAAATGGATATTATACATACTACCGCTTTCTATGTCAAAGTTGGCTAATTCTAGCCTTAATGCTTGGTAGTTGTGTGACATTGAGCAAATCACTTAATCTCTTTATGCCTCAGTTTCCTCATCTGAGAAATAGGGACAATACATGTATAGTAGGGGGATTGGAATACATTCCATAGAGTGCTAAGCCTGCACCCTGGCCACTTCTATGAAAACACTTCAGCACTGAAGGACTTGGGCAATAACTCAATGAACCTTAAAAAGACAGCTTTCACTCTTTGGCTGTCCTTTTTTTCCCCCCTAGCCTAGCATAGGAAGTGTGTTCTGTGCTTTACCCTGGAGGGGAAAGAGCAACTCTGGAAACTTTCTCTCACCCAGTAAAGGCTCACTGCTGTTTTTACTCAAGGGAAAGGAAGAAAGGAAGAAAGAAAGAAGGAAAGAAAGAGAGAAAGAGAGAAAGAAAGAAAGAAAGAAAGAAAGAAAGAAAGAAAGAAAGAAAGAAAGAAAGAAAGAAAGAAAGAAAGAAAGAAAGAAAGAAAGAAAGAAAGAAAGAAAGAAGGAAGGAAGGAAGGAAGGAAGGAAGGAAGGAAGGAAGGAAGGAAGGAAGGAAGGAAGGAAGGAAGGGAGGGAGGGAGGGAGGGGGAGGAGGAGGAAGGAAGGAAGGAAGGAAGGAAGGGAAGGGAGGAAGGGAGGAAGGAAGGAAGGAAGGAAGGAAGAGAGGAAGGGAGGAAGAAAAAACAGAGAAACGAATGATGCATTTATTAAACAGTTACTATATGCAAACTACCATGCTGATGGTGAGGAGCACAAATAGAAAGCAAGACAGACCCTATTCTCAAGGAGCTCACATTTTAATGGGGAAGACCACACATGTGAAAGGTTTCACCAGCAAGTCAGATAGGAAAAGTCTCATAGTCTTTAGGATACAGTAGCAAAGCAGAAGGAAATGAAGCTTCTTTAATATAATTTCCATTGATAAAATCATATCAGTTTCTGATGTCAAACCATTTGACAGTGTCAAGGATTTTGGTGGCAAGAACTTTCCTTTCTGGGTCTTTGGAAGCTTTGGCTGGACCACTTAGATGGGCAATTGCTAGGTTATATCCTCCATAGATACTGCCTCCCAGGATATTGGCTGAGGGGAATGGGCTAGAAACATTGCTAATCCCCCAGGCTTTTGTGTTTAAGGTCCTTCTGTGCTGTCTAACATCAGAATTCTGGGGACGAGTTGGTCAAGGTGGGGGTGGTGATTTGATTTGCCTCACCTGTGCTACCTCCTGCCTTGCCTCAGGATACCGAGTTGCTTCAGCTAGGCTGACTTGCCTGCCCCGGGTGTGACGATTGACAGTCTGTGGGAATGACTGGACCCATCTCCATAGTAGTCGTTTCCCCAGATGGTGACTTGGAGGGCTGGGTTGGCAGTTGGACTGATGGTCTGGGCAGTACTGATACTTTCAGGACTCCTATACCGATCTGCCTGTTAGTGATAGATGGTCAGCAATGGTAGTGACTTAATCCCTCAGTTTCTTGAAAACTGTATGGCATCCAACATGGCTCTCCTCTGTATATGCTTGGTTTATCCCCAGTGCTTTTCTTATTTTTATTTTTTTTAGTGCCATTTCTACTTCCTCATGTACCATTCCAGGGACTCTGATGTTAGTCTGAATGTGGTAGCCCTACTATCATTGGTAGGGAAAATAATTTGTTATAGGAATATTGATAGACTATTTCCATTTCAATGTCTTTATCATGCTTCTTCCAGCTTCATGGATGGTTCGACTTATTTAGACCCAGGGCTCTCACTGAGCTTTTTGCAAACTCGTCCTTTCCTTCGTGGATTCTCACTGTTTATGAGAAGATACTGCTCATAATTTTCCACCATTCTTCTCTATATAAAATTTACGAATGAGTTTTATGTTTTACACTGATATTGCAGCCTTGGAGTCAGGAGGACCTGAGTTCAAATCTGGCCTCAGACACTTGACACTTACTGTGTGACCCTGACACTTGACCCGATTGCCTCACCAAAAACAAACCAAAAACCCCCCAAAAACTGATATTGCCCTTAGCTGTCACATCTCTCTGTTTGGCAAAGAAATAAAATGTTTGCTGGCTGAAGTGATTTTTGGGTTCTTTCTTTGGGTCTTCTTGTTGTGATTAAAATTTCCTTGGGAAACGGTGATTTTTTTTTCTGTCGGTTTGTCTTTTAATCAGTTCCTCACTACATACATATACACATATACACATATACACATATACACATATAGCAGAACTGTTTGTTCAAATAGATCAAACTGGTGTTTTCTGAATTTCAAGCCATATCTTTTAATTTTTTATTGCTTTCTTCTAATTTGGTGTTGGTTTTGATTTTCAGTTTAATGAATTGATGGTCTGATTATGCACAAACAACAAATTCAGGAATGACTCTTATTGGAAACCAATTTTTTCCTTTCTGTCACACTCAGTTTTTGCAATTTTATTTTTAATGCTAGATCCATCCAGCACTTCCTGGGTCTCTTCCTGAAGAATACATTCATGATAAATATGCAAGCTTTCTATAGTCTCCTTCATTTCTTACTACTGTATCATATTTTCCAACGTATTTGTTTTCCATCTTACCCTGTACCACACTTTGCAACAAAATTATAGAAACAGGTACACTTATTCATTGCTGGTGAAATTGCAAACTATGAAAAGCTTTTGCAGAAAGCAACCTGACAGTACATATCAAAAGTTTCACAATAATGATATACATTGACCCAATAATTCCATCATTGGAAATATGCTCTGAAAGCATTATCAAACGTTAATAAGAGTCCTCTGTTCAATTTTTTTTTATAGAAACAGCATTTTTTAATAACTTTAATGTAACAGAATAATATAATATAATTTAGCTTCACAAGTATGAAGAATAAAAATACATAAAGAACTTTATTAATGTGGAAATCAGGATTGGACTATTATTTCATTGAAACGGGGAATTGGTAGTTGTGAAAACTTCTTATACCAGTGCAGATTGGCATTCTCTCTGATTTATAATCCTAGACAATTGCTTAGGGCACAAGAGTTCATTTAAGTGATTTAACAGGGTCATACAAGTAGTATGTGCAAAGGTGGGACTGAACCCAGGGTACTCAAGGCTAGTTTTCTAGCCACTACACCATGCTGCCTTGTAAATAATGGGAGGTATAAAGAATAGTGAAAAAAATTAAAGATGAAATGGTGGAAATTAGGAATACCTACAAAGTAGTTATTGATATTTTATATACTTAAAAATATTTAAGTGAAATACTTTCCAAGCAAATCTAATTGGTTGTAATAATTTTTTTCCACAATAAATCATTTACTTTTTTTTTTTTTAAAGTAACTCTTTCCTTGGTGATGGTAGTGGTGGGAACCATATGATTTTAGCCCAGTTTCATGTAGCACAGGCATATCTCATCTAACATTATTAGTTGGTTTCACAAAAAGCATGATGTTAAGTAAAATTATGTACTTGGGTCCACTGTTTCCCCAGAAATAATCTGGTACAGTAAATGTGTAACTGACAGAATCATGTTCCAGTGAGATTTCATACCATTAGAGGAGCTCAGTTAAAATGCACTAATAATGTGGCAAATGTGAGTTATCAGGGGAATGCTATGCAGAATATGCCTGTATTTTTGGAGTATACTGACATAGGTTGATCAGAAAACTACTCAGTTCACACAGCCCCAACCAACAGTAAGTTATGGTACTGAAAAAGATGGCATAAGTCAAGATGATGTAAATCAAACGCAATTTTCCCTGTTGGATAAATAATGCTATAAAACATTTTATTTTGTTGACCAAAGGTTTGATTCCCACAAACACTTTATTTAATCAGCTATATATGATAAGCCTACACAGTATATATTAGAATGTTTTCTAAATTGTGTATAACTCAATCAAGTTAACATTATAACCAATCATGTAAAATTGTGTTTAACAGGATATATAGTATACTGTATTGAGATAAATTCTGTATGACTCTTGCCTTATTTTTACTTCAACAAAGCAGAAGGTAAAGGAAACTCTATTAGCAGAATTTTGTTTCATTTGGTTTCTTCCAAATTTTGACAGGAGATTTGGAGAAACTTTGGGCAATTCAATGAATTTTCAAGTTATTTGTCAGCTTAATAAAATCATATTTGTGTGTGTGTGTGTGTGTGTGTGTGTGTGTGTGTGTGTGTGTGTGTTTGTTGGGGGTAGTGAGGTATCTGTTGGGGGATGTGGAGTTTGGAGAAAAGGAATATGGTAGTCTAAAAAATCCATGGATTTCCAAGCCTTGCCTTTCTTTCAGAAGGCCGTATCTTCTCTATGTGCCAGACATTAAACTAAGTGATGGGAATACAGAGAAAGGTTTAAAAACAGTCCCTGCTCCCAAGGAGCTCACACTATAATAGGCCTGGAGCTAAAAGATATTTGGGGGGCAGCTAGGTGGTGCAGAAGGTAGTGCTCCAGCCTTGGAGTCAGTAGAACCTGAGTTCAAATGCAGCCTCAGACACTTGACATTTACTGTGTGACCGTCGGCAAGTCACTTAACCCTGACTGCCTCCCCCCCCCCGCAATATTTGGTAATAGGGCTTAGGGTGAGATAGGGGAAGAAACTAGATAGAAACTGGGAGTCAGGTAAAGCCTTAGGCACGCACATCATGAAGCGGACTGGAGAGATGTAAGTTCATTAATACACTGCCTGCCTCCAGAGTAAAGCTCAACTGACTAAATACCACCATACACGCAAATGACTGAAAACTGAACTAGCTGAAGGATCATGCATAATAAGAGTCAATGTAAAGTAACACCAATCATAGTAATGACATTTCTGTGTGTTAGTTGTTTTATAATTAAGCCTGCCATACTGCTTCTATCCTCTCCTTCCTGTCATTCTTACCAGATATGTTTTTGGGAGGATCAAGTACAATGATAGACAGTGAAGTTTTAGTTAATTGTTCCTGATATAATAACACCTTTTCTGCAAAACAGAGAAAAGGAGGAAATAATCTTTTCTGATTCTTTTAATTTTTTAAACCTGAAACATAGTTGTACCTCTCCCCAAATATTCTCAAGTTTTCCAGCCCATTTCTAAGTGAAGAGCAAAATTTAACTAGCAGTGCTTCAGTTTCTTTGAACATTCCCCACTACATCCCATATTCTGCTCTTCCAAAATACCCAAATTGTTTATCATAAATGCAATCAGTGGAGGATCTAGATGACAAGAGTTGTGAACATCATTTCTCCTTCAGTCAGAATGAAAAGCAAGGTGCCTACAAGAGAAACAAATCCTCTATGTCTGTGTGATTTGGGAAAGGCAAAACATAAACAATCAACTTCCTAGACTATTAGTCATGATGCTTTGAAGTATTTATTTAAAATTCAAACAACTTTACGAATTTGCTTTTATATTTTGAGTCAGTAAATGACCAAGTAAATCTAACTCTTATGAATGTTCACTTGGGATGTCTGTAGGCTAGATCTGGCTGAATTATAAGATGCTTAATAATGTGGTGGTAAAATACTGTATTATGAATTCTTTCTGTGAAAACTTTTTTTAAAATACACTGCTTCTGCAATAATTATACAATTCATTATTAACAAAAGGATCCAAATTTGCCACTACGGACAGTAGTGTATGTAGGGATTGGGATAGGGAATAGACTTGTGATTTCATAGGCACAGGGACCTCTTTGTAGAGGGAACTCTATCCACCTTTGCTGGTCTGCAATTTATTGTCCTTAAGAGTGTCCTTAAGAGAAGTTTATTAACTTGCCCAGCCAGGGTTACTCAGCCAGTATGTGCCAGACGCAAGAGAAACTCTTTCTGGTCTTCCTGGCTTTGTGGCCAGCTATCTATTCAATACATAACCCTATCTACCCATACAAGTATATACGTGTACATAAAGATTGTTTATTTAAAAAGCTTCCTGTTGAATTGGAAGGAGAGTTGCAAATAATATATTAAAATTATTATTATTACTACTATTGTTACATGCCCCAGGGTAGGTGATTCAAATATCACCAAATATCACTAAATATCACCATTCAAATATTGCCAAATGGAATACAAAAATTGCCAAGAGAACAGTCTTCTTAGATCATTTATGAATACCTCTGTCCTAAGGTGAACCGATTGTTATTTCAACATGGTTTCCTAGTGTTCTCTATACGGCATAGTTCTAACAGAAAGAGCTCACCAAAATAGGACATTTGTCATAGCATGTGAATGTGTTTTGGGAGTGTGTGGTGATTGGGGGTAGGTAAGAGGAGCAAGTGGACTGGATTAAACTTGACAGCAATTAACTTTCCAAGAGATTTCATATTTTTAAGAGAGAAAAATGGAGCTCTCGTTCTGGAGAAATTCAACCTATGTTTTTACTTTTTTCTTCACTGGACTTTCTGCCTCAATGATCTAATACAGCATTTCCCAGATAGCCCTGAAAATGGTATTAGTTAAAGATGGAAGGATTGTTCAAGTCTAAATACACATGCAATAATTTGAGAATTGAAGATTTTCTGTTCTTGACTTTATGTTTATAGTGACTGGCAAATAGAGGTTAAGGGACTTGACCAGGGTCACACAGCTAATAAGTGTCTGAGGCAAAAGACAAGATTTGAACTCAGGTCTTCCTGAATCCAGGCCCTATGTTATTTTCACTGTGACACCAGCTGCCTTTTGAACTTAGAACTCTGATCACTGCAATAATAAGCCACAAGTCCAAAAGAATGTAGATGAGACATGTCATTCACCACAGAGAGGTGATAAACTTAAAATGCAAGAGGAAAGATACATTTCCAGATGTGGCCAATGTGGGAATTTATTTATTTTTTGTTTTTATTTTAAATTTGCTTAATGGTGGGAGTGGTGGGTTGAACAGATTAATTAAAAAAAAGTCACTTAAAAAAAAGTTATGTACTGTCAGAAGCCAGGCTTAATTCTAGGTCTTCTGACCCAACAATGCAGTAGGTTTTTAGTATTATCACCAT